TTCGACTCCGGCTTGGGCAGCCCCGGGGGACGGCAGGCAAGCTGCAGCCCGCGGTGGCCCAGCGCCAGGGGTCACCGCCGGGGGCTTCTCCCCTGACCTGCTGGGCGGGGCCGGGGCTCGGGCCGGGCTGGAGGAAGGGCAGGCTCTGCACTCACACGCTGGGCGACAGAGGACGGTGTGACTGTCGGAAGCCACAGAGAGGCCATCGCTGGGCGGCGCCAGTGCGCGGTCCGGGCTCCGGGCTCCGGCCGGCTCCACGTCGGCACCAGGCGCTCTGCCCGCTGGGTGTGGGTGATGGAGGGCGGCACCCCAGAGGCAGCCACAGGACCCAGCAGCGGGGGCCGGCCAGAGCCCCGACGTGGCTGGCGGGGGGCGGGGGGAGGCGGGGTGTGGGACACGGGGTTTCCGAGAACAGCCAGTGGCACCGGGGACACAGCCTTGGCGCCACTGTCCTGTGTCCAGGGGCTCTTCCTTGTGTTTGGCACTGCCCCCTCACAACAGGGCGGCAGCACCCGCTTCACAGGTGTGGGAAATGAGGCCAGGAGAGGTAAGGACTCTCGCCAGGCCTGCGAGCGGCCTGTGGGGGTGCAGCCCCTTCTGAAGCCCCTGGGGTGACACGGCAGCCTGCCCAGGCCGCTCGTCCCTGTGCTCTGCGGAGACATCGGGGCTCAGGCGTGTGCGGCGGCCTGTTCGACAGGCCCTCCAGGGGCCCTCGAGCGGGTTGCTGTGTGGGGTGGAGCGCGGGTACCCCGTGGGTCTTTGACGGAACCCCTGATCCCTCCAGGCACCATGTCCTCGCGTGGAGGGGTGAGGCCGAGGCATTCCGGGTTCCCTGTGCACGGGGGTGCCCTCGCTGGCTGGACCCCTTTCCTCGCGCCCTGGGTGTGTGCCTGCTGAAAGAGGGAGAGACCTGGACTCGGGGTCACATGTGCTGGGGCCCCAGATGCTCTTCCCAGCACCCCCGTCTGCCCACCTTGCCTACCTGCAAACGGGCATCCCCCAGGCTCCAGGTTCAGGTCACCCTTCTTGCTGAGCTTTAAAACTGCTTTTGGGGAGTCCAGGGCCGGCGGTGACGGTGACGCCTGGATGGCCGAGGTGACTGTGCTGCCCCAGGCCAGCTGACTTCACAGGCCACCGCGAGTGACAGCTGCATGGCCGGGTCGCAACCGGTGTCCTCTGGGCCTGTGAGGGCCACGCCCACGGTGGCCACGGGGTCACGTGCAGGGCGCGGGTCTGGGGGCCGCTGGCGCGGGTGGGCTGGCGGGGCCCTCAGGCTGGGGACGGGGCGCCTGCCCCCCACCCCGGCTTCTCCCTTGCAAACAGACTTGTTTCTCCTTCTCGGTCCACTCAGCTGCTCTGTGCCTCTGGCTGGTTCGGGCCATCGGCCTTCAGGGATGACACAGTATCCAGGGCCCACCGGCGGCTTATTTTCACTGTGCTTCTGTTTCCTGCTCTCAGGCCTTGGCTACCTTTTGTGTTGTTTTGGATTCCACTTTCAGTTTCTTACTTGTTTCTTCTGGTCTTTTGTGTTGACGTTTCCATGAGGCTTATATGTCAGGTGATTTTATTCTCTGGAGCAGCTTTGGGGTCACAGCAACAATGAGAGGAAGGTGCAGAGATTTCCCGCTCGCCCGGCCCGGCCCCGGGGCCCCTGCCCCGCAGTCCCCGGCCCTCCTGACAGCCTGCCGTGGGCCTCGGGCTGCCCGCTGGCCCTGCCCTGGGTTGCACGTTCCATGCTGGGCAAACACCGTCGCCACCTACCCGCCGTCGCAGGGTGACACAGGGCCGCTTCGTGCCCTGAGACCACATGTGCTCTGCCCCGATCCCTGGCAACTGCTGATGGCCTGACCACCGGTTCTGTCTGTTCCAGAATGTTCTTTCTCCAGAGCCATATGGTCGGAGGCCTTTTCGAAAGTCACTCTTTCCCCGGGAAGCTGCATTTCAGGCGCCTTGGGTCTGCTCAGGACCCCTTTCCTGGAAGCACGGGATGGGGGTCTGCGGTCGTCTGGACTGCCCACGCTGGACACATGGCTTCTTTGTCCACTCGCCTGCTCGGGGCACGTCGGCTGCTCCCAAGCCGCTGCGGCTCTGTGTTGAGGTTCTTGTGTGCACAGAAGTCTCGACTCTGTTGCATAGACCTGAGAGCGGGTGGCTGGACGGTCCGTGTGATGAGAGCGTGTTTAGCTCCGTGAGAAGCCGCCCACTGTCTCTCCCAGCGGCCACGCGAACAGCCTTCCTGTGGCTCGTGCCCTGGACACGTGTTCACGGCCTCTGGACTCCTCCTGTCTCACGGGCTCCCCTGCTGTGCCTTTGGCTGCAGCCACACAGGTTCAAGGGCGGGGGAGCCGGTCCCCTCTCCCGCCTGCATTCGCCCCGGCCCCAGACCCAAGCGGGGGTGACCCTCGCTGCCCCTGGGGTTGCCTTTCAGAAGCGCTGGTCTCCTTCACACTCCCCTCCACCCAGCGACAAGCTCGCGTGTGGAAATAGAGGCCCCCACGTCCCGCCAGCCAGACCCCTCGGACTTCCCTACGTAACTGTACACTTGGGTGCGGCACCCTGGGTACACCCCGCCCCCCACGGAGGCCTGGGGGGTGTAGTGAGGCCTGAAGACGGGGCTGCCGCGGCCCCTTGCAGCCGTCTGTGTCCCCCTGCTGACCTGACAGCACTGACCATGCCCCGCTCCCAGGTGGCTCAGGGATGCAGCCCCCCGGCTTCTGTGCAGACTCTGCAGGGCACGGACGCCGATGCCTGGCCGCCCAGGCAGCACCTGTTCTGCGAAACATCCTCATGAACCGCCCACCTGCAAACGCATTCACCCAGACACCTGTCCTGGTACCCATGGCCGCTGCTCAGCCGTCAGGGCAGGTCCTGGCGCCAGGGCAGCTGGGTGTGGCCCTTCACTCGCCTCGGCATGTTTGTGTCTCCAACTCCTGTGTGTTCCTGAGGGGCCGGGCACCCCTCTTCTCTCGGTCAGTAGCACCCCCGTCGCTTCTGCTGACGTCCCTGGGCCACTCCACGGCCTCCCGGTCAAGCCCAGCAGCAGCTCTGCATCCGCGTCTGTCTGCTCAGCTCACAGCTCCACGTGGGGACCCGGCGACCTTGAGGAACGGGGTCCTCCCTCCCTGGGGAGCAGGTCCCAGAGCCCCGTGGGCCTACGTGATGACTCCATCCACAGGCCTCCTTGGACGATGCTCCCTTCCCTGGCGGGCTCCCCACCCGCCGAGTGGGGTCCTGGGGTTGCCTCTCAACAAGCTGCCTCCTCGGGACCCCTCGTTGAGGGCCTGGGGGCTCTGAGACCTGTGCCGGGCCTCGGCAGGGTGGGACCTATTCTGCAGTGTTATTGACAGATGGCGTGGGTGCTTCTAGAACACACCTGCTGGGCTTTGAATAAAAGTGGGTTGGATCTTCTCTCCCCATCTGGCTTGGCCCACACTGGGGCTGCCTGTCCTGACCTAAAGGCTGGGCTGGCCCTGCTCCCCCTGGTCCACACAGACACCAGCTGCCCTCAGGGTGCGCTCGGGATCCGCCTGGGGGGCTCGCGGAGCTGGGGCCGCCTGCACCTCCCTTCCGACACCGGAGCGCGCTCTCCGGTTCCCTTCTAAAGCGCCGGGGTCTGTTCTGGTCTGCGGACGGCTGAGTCCAGCTTCCTGCTCCTGGTCTGGCACCGTCCCCCCGAGAGCACGGTGTCGGTTAGCAGGGGGTGTTTTCCTGTGAGGGTGGATTCAGAATGACAGCTGAGCTCGTCGGGTGCTTCGGAGCCCGGCTGACTGATA